ACCAATTTAATGGTCACAGTTAACCAAATAATTTGTGACCACCACCAACACTTATGAGTTACAGTTACAATTTTCAGATCACGTATCCCATTGTGAGTCACAATTACAATTTTCAGGTCACGTATCCAATTGTAGGTTACAAATCAACCAAATCGCCATGACCACCACAACAATCACCACGATCAATTGTGACTCCCAAATTGCGAGTTACAATTGGGAGTTACAATCACAATTTTCAGATCACGAATATAATTATTTGTCACAAAATCAACCAAAACGCCACAACCACCACAACAACCGCAATCCACCCCAACTACCACCGTCACCACAAAATCGTTCAGATCACCAACATCAGCCCATCGCCGTCGCACATACACCACCGCTGATGCACACACACCTCCACATCCATGCGCAAAAACTTTCACATATCCATCGCCGCCATAAAATTGCGATTTGCATATCCACCGCCATACCCACACACACCATAAATCGCGATATGCATATCCACCGCTGCCACAAATTGTGTAGATCTGCGTATTGCCACATCAACCGTCGTCGTGATCTACTGTATATGCCAGATTTTGCCTCAGATGTACTGCATCTGTCGTCGCTGTAGCTACGACGGTGAGAGAGGAAAGAGAGAATCGAGTTGGGGAAAATGAGAGAGAGAGAGAGAGAGAGAGAGAGATGTGAGATTAGATTGTGAAATGGGTTTGAAATTGTTTTATTTAATTAATTTTTAAATATATTAATTAATTAAAAAATTCTAATTTGTGAAATACTAAACATGTCATCTTATTTATGAAATGAGAGATTTTAATCTATTAGAATCTGAAATTTCCACTTTGATAAATTAAACTCTAGTTTCGTAGCTTTCCTACTGTGACAAGACGAAGCCGGTTCAAGTCCAATGGAGGCGTAGGCTTGCAATGAACTTTTGGGCCAAACCCAAATACTCAATCAATTTATTTGTTTATTTATTTATTTTTTTGGGGGAACAATACATTACCACTATACCATAAAAGTCACATTTCAAAATTAACAAACTCTCTAAAAACTTTCATAAATTAGGTGATAAATCAAATTATTAAATATATAATTATAATATAATATACATTGATTTTCTCTCTATATCAATTGATATACTGACATTATATCCTCACCCCACGAACCCCAATCCATCCCACCCTACCTCACCTCATCCATCGTACCCCATCCCATTGTGGGAATATCCAGAAATTCAAATCTCTCTACACTCCCCACTCCCACTGTAGAAAACTCCAAATATTAAAAATATTTTCAATTTTAATATCTTGTCTCACATACCAAGTCACAAGTAATCAATATAGAATCTTTGTAATTTTATATATATCATAGTGAAAGAGCATTTCATAATAATCATGTAGTTGAACAAATAATTCACACAATCGCATGTATATTAATTTGTTGATGTCTAAAAATATTTAAGCTCTTCCACCCCCACCTTTTTTATTTTATTTTTTTATTTAGGTATCCAAAGTTCGCCCGACTTGAGACATTTCTTCAAATTAGTAACCATTTAATCCAACTCCCTAACCAATGGACAAATAGAATACATCAGCACCTCAACTATTGCTCATTCTTTTCTATTTTTCCATTTCAGTCTACCAATGAAAGAAAATCCATCAATTGTTTTATTTTCCATTTATTTCTCCTTCCACGATATCTTTTATTGAGGCCAATGCATACCGAATTGCCATCCCTTTCTAATTGAAATTAATTACTGTTATTGGAAGATGAAACAAGAAACTTCCCTATTCTTTTAGGTACACTTCAATTACAATTGGCCAAATCCATTACACAAAACTCTTTTAATTGCTCATTCTCAGTATCATTTCCACTTTCCTCCAGAATTTTTGTAGAAGGCACAATATTCCCTCTGTCTATCTCACTTTCAAAATGGATTGGGATGCAAAGGGTAAAACAGGTATAAATGCTTGTTAGACCACATTTTTATCAAATAATGTATTTTGAAATAGTAGATTAATAGAGAATGTGTAATTTAAAAATGAGGAAAAATTTTAAATTTTCGTAAAATCTTATTTTATTAAAAAATGTATGGTTGAAAAGAATATTGAAAAAAATAAGATGTCTTAAAATGATCGTCAAGTCCACTGCCTAACCTTTTTCATTTTCAGTTTCTTTTACTTTTCCTTTTTTGTTCTTGACATTTTTGACCAAAGAAATCAATAATTGACCTTAGGAATTGTTAACAAACTTATCCCTTCAAAAAATTTTGTCCTCGAAATTCAATCTGTTAAGCTCTATAATGAATTCTAAACAGTCACGCAAGGCTAACCAAGAGCAACTGAACTAATCCATTCTTTGATTTGATTAAGGCCAACACATCACTAATTCAACTTATTCCATTTACTAAATCTAAGTATATCGTTCCACAAAGAAAATTAAAAAAGTTCATGCTCAAAATAAAATCCAAGATATCATTTGTGACAATTTACAAAACTTTACAGAATAATAGTGCTTTCAACTTTTCTATCGAGGACAATACTTTTCTGCAATGATTTGTACAAATTTAGAACTAAATGAACTTCTTCACCACCTTGGTTCGAACTTTTTAATCATCGAACTTACAGCCAAGTTTTAAGTTCCAATTTTGTTTCGGTAACATGATTTTGTTGACTTGTTCGCACAAGTTAGGGACATATTGTACACTTAGACTTTGCTACATGTATATCAAGTTTTATACAATGAATTACATAATGTCATATGTTACTTTATCATTTGTCAGTTTAAAATACTGTCAACTTTTTCATCCAATTTTTTTTACAACATCATCTTATGTATTCCCTTATACACAATTTTTATCTACAAGTTGCATAATCCTCGTACACTTTACACCTTTTATTCTCTCCCTTTCTTTTACAAAGAGCTTTGTTTTGTTGGGTTGCCAACTAAAAGGTTCACAATGAATTACATAATGTCATATATTACTTTATTTGTCAATTTAAAATACTGTCAATTTTTTCATCCAATTTTTTTGACCACGTCATCTTATGTATTCCCTTATACACAATTTTTATCTACAAGTTGCATAATCCTCGTACACTTTACACATTTTATTCTCTCCCTTTCTTTTACAAAGAGCTTTGTTTTGTTGGGTTGCCTACTAGTAGGTTCTGTTTGGCTTCAATTTAATAAACTATTTTATTATTATTATTATTTTTTTTCCAAGCTTATCATCTACCAATCAATAAGCATGTCAGTTAATGCTATTTTTAGAATAAGTGGATTTTGAGTATTTTTATTTTCAAATATGTTTAGATTAATTTTTTTTAGTTATAATAAGAATGTTAATTACCTTCATACTAAAACATGTGAAGCTTTTCTTAATTAAGTGATTTAATTTTTTTAATTATGTATTGTTTGACCTCCATTTTCTAAAATTTTCATTATTCGAATTAAACTTTAATCACACATTTTTTTAATAAAATAATTTTAAATGTGTACCATAACTTTTTATTATTTCTTAATTATGTATTCTTAAAAAAAAAACCCACTTTCCACAAAATTTATTATTTAAAAAAAAATTAATAGGAATCAAAATTTAGATTTTAATCTAATAAAAATTAACAATTAATTTTATTCACATAGTGAGATCCATAACCTTTTAACTATATATTTTATCAAAATTTGAATTTAATCCTTACTAAACAGAGGCTAATCTTAAGTTCAGTATAAACTAGAATATGCAAACAGAAACATGCTGCACATACGGGGGACTTGTACTGCCAGGCAACACAAAGGAGTGGGGCCCGCTGCTATTTTTTTTTTTTTTTTTTTCCCCCCCGCCCCCATGTGAGGTCTGTAAAATCCCTTGAAAGAGCTGTCCTGTACATCCAACTTTATTCATGCTCTGTGGGCCCTTCACCCCTTTAATTATTCGATTACTTTTCACCTTCATATGAGAAGTTAATTGAGCAGCGGCGGACACAACTTAGACCATTTTCTTGCAATTTTCTGCAATTTTAAAAAATGGCTTATGCTGCTCTTCTTTCTCTTAGCCACACTCTAGAGCACTCTCTGAATTTTTATTCTCGATATCTGATGCATGATGAGATACAACAAATGTCATTCCTCCTCGAAATGGTTGGTTTCTCACTAGATCTTCTTGAAAATTCTTCACAAAAATGCAGCGAAACGATAGAGAGTTTAGAAGATAGAATCAGAGATAGGGCATACGAGGCAGAAAATACAATTGAATCCACCGTTATGAATCGAGTTCTTGAAGGGTCTGCAGGTTACAGGGAGATGAATTTCCTAACCATATGCCATACATTAGAAAAAGCGATTGAAGATATTGATTCTATAAAGACAAGAATGGACAAGATGGAGGACGAGAGTGGCGTACAAGATCTGCGGTTAACGTTTTCATCGCTTGCTCTTTCAACAAATCCTGCTGCCAGTGGCATTCGCAAGAGCGATATGATGGGTCTTGATGATCACATGATGGAGATTAAGGGACGACTAACCAGGCTATCATCAAATCTCGAAACTGTTTCCCTTGTTGGGATGGGCGGAATAGGCAAATCTACTCTTGCTACAAAACTTTATGAGGATGAATATATTGTATACCATTTTTATATTCGTGCTTGGGTTACAGTAGCTCAAGATTATAATCTGCGAGCAATCCTTATAAACCTTCTAGATTCCATGAAAAATCTCATGGGCCAAATGCGTGAAGCTAGCGTCCCAAAATTATCAGAATTTCTGTACAAGAGTCTAAAGGGTAGCAGGTATCTTATTGTGTTGGATGACGTGTGGGATACAAAATTTCTGGATGATTTGAAACGATTACTTCCAAACGACAAGAACGGAAGTCGAGTCTTGCTGACTACTAGGTTAGAAAAGGTGGCTAATTATGAAAACTCTTGTTCTCCTCATCATATGCGTTTTCTAAACTGGCATGAAATCGATATCTGATGCATGATGAGATACAACAAATGTCATTCCTCCTCGAAATGGTTGGTTTCTCACTAGATCTTCTTGAAAATTCTTCACAAAAATGCAGCGAAACGATAGAGAGTTTAGAAGATAGAATCAGAGATAGGGCATACGAGGCAGAAAATACAATTGAATCCACCGTTATGAATCGAGTTCTTGAAGGGTCTGCAGGTTACAGGGAGATGAATTTCCTAACCATATGCCATACATTAGAAAAAGCGATTGAAGATATTGATTCTATAAAGACAAGAATGGACAAGATGGAGGACGAGAGTGGCGTACAAGATCTGCGGTTAACGTTTTCATCGCTTGCTCTTTCAACAAATCCTGCTGCCAGTGGCATTCGCAAGAGCGATATGATGGGTCTTGATGATCACATGATGGAGATTAAGGGACGACTAACCAGGCTATCATCAAATCTCGAAACTGTTTCCCTTGTTGGGATGGGCGGAATAGGCAAATCTACTCTTGCTACAAAACTTTATGAGGATGAATATATTGTATACCATTTTTATATTCGTGCTTGGGTTACAGTAGCTCAAGATTATAATCTGCGAGCAATCCTTATAAACCTTCTAGATTCCATGAAAAATCTCATGGGCCAAATGCGTGAAGCTAGCGTCCCAAAATTATCAGAATTTCTGTACAAGAGTCTAAAGGGTAGCAGGTATCTTATTGTGTTGGATGACGTGTGGGATACAAAAGTTCTGGATGATTTGAAACGATTACTTCCAAACGACAAGAACGGAAGTCGAGTCTTGCTGACTACTAGGTTAGAAAAGGTGGCTAATTATGAAAACTCTTGTTCTCCTCATCATATGCGTTTTCTAAACTGGCATGAAAGTAGGGATTTATTTTGTTGGAAAGTGTTTGGCAAAGATTTTTGCCCTCCTGAATTGGAGAATATTGGGAAAATGATTGTCGAAAATTGTCGAGGACTTCCACTAGCAATTGTTGTGATTGGTGGTCTGCTCTCGAAGGCCATACAAACACCATATTACTGGTCAAATGTTGCAAAAAATCTTAGTTCAGTAATGATTTCAAATGATAAACAGATCTCAAAGATACTATCTTTGAGTTACAAGAATTTGCCTCATCATTTGAGAGGGTGTTTCCTCTATATGGCTTTTTTACCAGAACATCATAATATTCGTGTCACCAAACTTTTCAAGTTATGGTTTGCGGAGGGATTACTAAAATCAGTGAAATCTAAAAGTATGGAAGATGTAGCTGAGGAGTATTTGTTGGATCTTGTTGACAGAAATCTTGTTTTGGTTCATCAGCAGAGTTCCAGAGGCAAAATTAAATCATGCAAGATCCATGATCTGTTGCGAGACCTTTGCATGAGAGAAGCTGAAAGGGGAAAGTTGAAGGAAGTCACGAATAGGTATTTTTCTAACTTTAGGCAACGTAGAGTGTTGGGAGTGGGTCATCGTAATATCTTGAAGTTTTCGGGTGCAATGTTAGAACAAGTTAACTTGCGGTACATTGATTGCTACTGCCAAGAAGTAACTTTTCTTAAATCACTACACAAACTTCCAAATCTACAGACCATAATTTCTACCAATAGAAGTTCTACATCTGTAGAACTTTGTATATGGAATATGCCACAGTTAAGGCATGTCCAGATGGAGCATGTGTTTCTGCCTGATCCTCCTAGTGCAGGAGCTGAAGAAAATTCTTTTATTGTCTTGGAAAAGCTGCAAACTCTCTACATGGTATACGATTTGAAGTGGACACTGGAGATCCTTAAAAGAATTCCCAATCTCAAGAAATTGGGAATCAGTTATGAACAGTGGCAGTGGAATCGGGGATACTACTGTCTCAATAATCTCGTCGGTCTACATAAACTTGAATCATTGAAATGCAAGTTTTCTCGTCTGTCGCAGTCTTCCCTCAAGAATATTATTTTCCCTACATCGCTTCAAAAGTTGGCTATAATTGGTGGCAAGTTTCCTTGGAAAGATATGGCAATTGTTGGTTCGCTGCCCAATCTTCAAGTGCTCAAACTGAAAGATAACGCCTTTCATGGCCCAGCGTGGGAACCAAATGAAGGGGAATTTCTTCAACTTAAATTTCTGCTACTAGAAGACATCTATCTGGTGCATTGGAGAGCTGAAGTTTTCTCGTCTGTCGCAGTCTTCCCTCAAGAATATTATTTTCCCTACATCGCTTCAAAAGTTGGCTATAATTGGTGGCAAGTTTCCTTGGAAAGATATGGCAATTGTTGGTTCGCTGCCCAATCTTCAAGTGCTCAAACTGAAAGATAACGCCTTTCATGGCCCAGCGTGGGAACCAAATGAAGGGGAATTTCTTCAACTTAAATTTCTGCTACTAGAAGACATCTATCTGGTGCATTGGAGAGCTCCATTTCCCAAGGCTTCAACACCTAGTAATTAAGTTTTGCATTTTTTTGAATGAGATCCCCAGTAGTATTGGAGAAATTCCAACTCTTCTATCAATCAAGGTTGTTACATGTAGCGATTCAATTGTAACTTCAGCAAAACAAATACAGGAGGAACAACATAGCTTGGGAAATGATGGGCTTCAAGTTCAAGTTCTATTCAACTCAAATGATTTATATAAAATGCAATATTTACATACAGGTCAACTTATCCCATATTCAATTTTACTTTGTTTAAATTTTGGCTATGTCAATGATCAATACTCAGTATCTGAACCAGCCATCTATATTTACATGTTTCATACGTTCTTCTAGCTATGCTTCTCTCTCATTTTCTTCTTTGATCTATTAGATAACATTCTTGTCCTCTCTTACCGTCCCGAACCAATTCTATGCGAGATTTTCAGGTTAGCATATCCTTTTTCACTTCTCTATACCAAAATACATATGGAGTAGTAATGTTAATAATCCGTCTTCTGTCCTTTCTTTTTACAGGCAACAAGAAACTGCCAGAGAAGTCGATCAAACTGACCTCTAGAATTGTGGTGATGGAAATTAAATTTATTGCTTACAAGTCATGGTCTCGGACGAACAGCAGAAGCCATGGAGGCTCTCAAAGCAGCTTGAATGGTGCTGCATTTTATCGAAATATTAAGAATATGTATTGAATTGTAATTGAGTAAGGCAACAAGTTTGACGGATGCTAGCACTACGTTGTTAAAGCTTATAGATAGAGCTTTCATTCTCTTGTATTGTTTTGATTTCTATTTTTATTAAATGTAAAACCGAACTTCGAATACAAGATTGATGACGCCTTTGGTGTGTTTAGTAAAGTAGATTTGATAATATTTGAAAGGGTTATAGGAGAACATTAATTAAAATATTTCATTCAATCTACTGTTGACTCATGTTCAATATATATTGTGTAGAAAAAATGCTATTCGTGCATGACGGAACAATTTTAGTCTGTTTGATTTTAATTATTTTATAAGTCATTTTCTATCAAAATTTATTTTCGACTACACATTCTCATAATAAAATATTTTGCAAGTAAATCCAATTTTTATTTTTTTACCTTTTAACCACACCTTATCCAGAAATTCATTATTACAAAACTCATTTTGATGAAATAATGGACACCAAACAAGGTTTTAAGGGTGGAAGATGATCTATCCTTAATTTGGAACCAAAATGAAAATAGGATGGAAATACGGTCATTTTCTCTCTCATTCTTCATCCTTTTTTATCAAGATACAAACCAAATAATTTACTTTTACTGTATATAAATTAATTTTGTTGAGAAAATTTCTTGAGGATCCAAGTGTTTGAGAAAATAAAAAGTATATGTTGGAATAAGTAAGTTACCGGAATTGCTCTAATACCACTTGTTGATCCCGAGGGTGTTTCAGGAATTGAAATTAATGACACAAAATGAAATTTGTATGATCATAATGAAGAAAATAAGTTTAAAGTAAAGAAATCGAAGAGAGATTAGCAGAGGGAATCGATGTTTTATTAAAGACAAGATGTGAAGAGAATGCAAGAATTTAGCAATAAAACTTCACCTAAACTAAATGAAGAACCACATCTTTAAAGGAACATACCAAACCTTGAAAATATCATAAAAATGGAAATAATATAAAAAATAATTTAGAATAAAAGAAATAATATTTTTTCAATAAAATCACGTGAAAATAAGGAAATAATATTTTCCAATAAAATCATGTAAAAATAAGGAAATAATATTTTCAAAAAAATTCACCCTAATTTGGGGTACAAAATCTAACAATCTCCACCTTAACCCAAATCTCGATGCAACGAACAAAGCCCTAAATATTTCTCCACCTGGAAAAATATGTTCGACTGCATCGAAATAATCAAACTCTTCAAAGAGTAACCAAACCTCTCCACCTCAGGAAAAATATCATCCTCTGCCCCACGTCCACGAGCGAAACCCGAACCTCACTCCCAGGTTCCCAAAATTTCAACTAAGAATTAAAATTATTCAAATAGGATCGAAGCGTACCCCTTAGTAGAAACTACACACAATACTTTATCAAAAGGTCCATTGCTAGAACTGTCACCTTCAAAGATCCCATTTAGCAGTGCATCTAGGATTCTGATGCTGACATGATAAAAAGATTTTTGTGATAAATAATCTCGATATGAACTATAAGGAAGAAGACATCTATTGTTAATTCTGCAAGTATTATGCTAACTATTGCTTGAGTACATGTAATACCTTATCTTCCCCCAGGGCATATCTCCCAGTGGCAAAGGGGAGGGCTGATAGGGCTCAGCGCGACAGTGTGCAGAGTTCGATTCCCCGCAAGGTGGAATTGGTTTTGTTGCAAGCGGGAGTTACCATATGGGTTAACAGCCTTGACCTATCCATATGCTCTCCACCCTGGCTCCTGGGAGGCACATCCTGTGATTTACCTCCTCCACGATGACCCAGGGCAGGGTCCGTGGGGGCCCTTAAGGTTGGGGTTCAACCTTTTTTCAACACCTAAAGTTGGAGTCAAATATGTCATGCTAGAAAAAAGAAAACTAAAAGCAAACAAAAATTGGAAAATGGAAGGCGGTTGTTGATTGTGTATAAATTAATCAAATCCATTTCATCCTAATCCCATTTATATACAGTTCCATTTACAGACCAAAACACACCACTCACAGAGAAAGAAAATGAGGCAGGAACGAAAGAGAAATGAGGAACGAAAGAGTGAAAGTTGGAAAATGTGGACTAAAAAAATTAGTGCTTTCTACTATTAAACTTGAATTCTTCAATTTAAAGGTAAGTAAAAGTTACTTATTGAATAGTTTTGTTTAATTTTAAAGTGGTTAAATTATTAGTTTAAATTCAATTTTTTTGAAAGGGAACTATTGAATTAAGTCTAATAATCTATGAAATTAAGTTAATGGGGAGAAAAAATTGCACAAGTATAAAAAGATTAGGATTTAATATTTCCTATTTAATTATTGAAATTATTTAAGATGGTTAATTGTTAATCTAAAATTTATATGATATTTTAGGTAACAATACGGAGATCGGGACAACCTATCAACCGAGTTGATTTTGTATACATAGTACTGTGAGTGGAAAAATTTAAATATTTTCAAGTATTGCTAAATCACGTATACTATTATATTATGTGAATTACTTGTTCAATTACATTATTGTTATTTAAAGCTTCTTTCACTATGATATATGTAGTGTAGTACATTTGTAAATTGGATTGTGTGACATATGTGATATTGAGATTGACCAGATCCTTGGCCATGTTTTATATGACACTAAGGGGTCCTGATTGGGATGAAAAGGTCTTGATCATGCACATATAGTTCATTAAGGGGTCTTAACTGTGTTCTATAATTGATTACGAGAGGTCTTTTGAGGCCCGCTTTCAATGATGGGCTTGAGGCTTGAGTTAGGAGCACTGAGCTCGAGGGATAGTCTACGCGCATATGACCAGATTACAAAGTTCAATCAGAGGGTACCATTTTGGTAGGATTTAGTACATTTGATGTGATGAGATTATAGTATGGTTATCTGCTGATATTTATATAATGACTTTGAGATGATATTTTATAGCGTTATGAGAATGTCTCACTTCTTGACTATAATTATATGATGTTATCTTGTGAATTATTAATGATATGAACTCAATTTTCGATAAAAAATGTATAAATGAAACGATATAATTTTTTTTAAAAAAAACTTCTCCACTCACTGAGCTATCAACACATATATTTTTCACGATTTTTCTTATTGGGTAGTTGTTGAGCTTTGGGCATTTAGGAAGTTGAGCCTTTGATTTGGAGTTAGAGCCACCCGACAGAGTTTGCTAGTATGATTCATTTTATAGATCATGTAGTTTGTATTTTGGGACACATGTTCATGTTTAAATGTGATTGTGCATTACTTGTAGAGATAGTTATGGAGTTCACTATGTATTTTGCATTCATATGTACATTTCATGTTATTTTCATAGTAAAAGTTGGGATTTCGGCTTATCTCTATTGTGTTGTATTATTTTTGGGATTTGTACATAGTAAATTACAGTTCGGTTAGTCCTATTTATTGGAGAGATAATGTCGAAATTTCATTAAAAATAATTTATAAAAAGGTGTATATTGTAGTAGCATTGATAGCGGGTTTGACTTTGGGTTGGTATCTATCATCGACACACGTCACGTTTAGGGTCTACAAGCATTAGTCAGAGTGGGGCATGTCAGTTTGGTATCAGAGCATGCTATAGAGTCCATAGGCTTACATTGTGCATACATTTTGATGTTTAGTATATCATGCATAATTGTAGGTGAGTCATGTCTCATGGTACTAGAATTCGAAGGCTCTAAGATATGTTGCTCCAGTCTCACATTGCTCCTGATAGAAATGAACTTAGAAAGTTCGAGAAAGTCGATGAATCGGTCCACTAGTCGCCTAAACATCGGGGAAAGGGAAATGTGACTGGAAATGATCCAATGGCTGTTGAAAGAATTCCTACTGCGATTGCTTTTGCTATGCATAGTGCAGATAGAGATTTCAGTATTGAGAGGACTACAAAATTAGAGGCTAAAGTTTTTATAGGCACAGTTAATATTGCAGTTGCTCCGACATGGATGATCAAGATAGAAATGGTAATTGATGCTATGGGTTGCCCAGATGATCGAAAGTCGCGTCTTGCCACTTTCTTATTAGAGAAAGGTGTATTTGATTGGTGACAGTCAGTGCAGGGTACATATCGAAACTCTTCTATTATCACTTGGACAAATTTTTGAAGTGTCTTTTATGATGCCTATTACCCACATTCATATAATGATGCAAAGTTGGAGAAATTTTTGAAGTTATTACAAGGGCAGATG